AAACTTGAAATCTTTAAGAGTATAACTAAGGGGCTGGAGAGATGGTTCAGTGGTTAAGAGCACTGACTGCTCTTCCACAAGACCCAAGTTCAAATCCCAGCACCCACATGGCAGCTCATAACTGTAACACCAAGATCTGACACCCTCACACAGACATACACGCAGGCAAAACGCCAATGCAAACAAAATAAACAGAAGTAAATTTGAAAAAAATTTCAATTATTAAAGAGTATAGTTGAAAGCTGTGTGTGTGTGTCTGTCACACACACACACACACACACAGACATACAGCTAATCATAAGATGATTCTGGAAGCAAGGACTCTAGCTCCCCCTCCTTGCCCTCACCCATCATAATATTCACTCAATGCCCCTGCCTCAAAGTCTAATTGAAAGCTAAAGATGAATGAGGTATGTTAGGAGATCTCCATAGCAACGCTTCCACCACAGAAGAACCCAGAGAGCCTGGGACAACCTCCTCACATACCAGAAGAAGATGTTGAGCCTGGAATGAAAAGTACCACCCTCCTCCCCTCCCGCCAGGAGCCTGGAGGTGGGCAGAAGGGAGGATGGGTGCAGGGCCGGTTCTGTGGTCTGTGTCCACATTTGCTCTTTCTTCCTGCTGGGGCCCTGGCACAAGCCACCCACATTTCCATGGGGGTCACAGAGGAGGCCCTTCACCAGTCCTGTGTCTGACATTCATCAGACACCATGAAGACAGCACTATCCCAAGGCAGTCACACTGTACCCGTCTGCTCCCTTCTCACCCAGGCAAGGCCTTTACAAAGAGGACAGGGCCACAGGCAATCTGGTCCCATGGCCCTGCTACCATCCCCCTCCCCTGCTTCTCCCTGCTAACATCCTCCCCCCTTCTTTCCTCCTCCCTCATTCTGCTGTTGCCACACTGCCCTGCTGTCCCCAAGTCCCCCAGATACTGTGGGAGTATGGCCTTTGCACAGTCTGACTTTTCTATGATATGCTCTTTTCCCAAGATGACCATGGCAGTTGGGGTTGGGATGGGGTGGGGGTGGCGACTAATTTCTTCTTCAAGTCACTCTGTCTCCAGGCCTAACTTATGCAGTCCCCATGTGCAAGTGGTACTCTGTACATAACAAGCGGTGCTAACAACGTCTGCTGAGGTTTCCTGAGGCAGACTGTCACATACCCCATCCCCACCCCCATTCTGATTCACAGCAGCCTTGGGAGGAAGGCACCATCCCTGTCCCCGCTTGACCTGAGGAAGCCAAGGGCTTACTAAAAGTGGAGATCACATCACTGGCATGCCGCAGTCCTACTAGTCCCTAGGCCAATGTGATTTCAGATTCCAAGCTCAGTGACAGAGTGACACTAGCACACACACAGGCTCCTGGCACTGAAGAAATATGATAAGATACAAAACTAAATAAAAAAGAACCCCAAATACTTTCTCTTCTGATGTTTTACTAAGTGGACCCCGCTGCCATGAGCCTTCGTCGGTTTGCAGAGCTAGCGCGGGGCTGCTGCCTGTGAAGCCATAGTCTGAGTCCTACCCCTTCCCTGTGTGCCTGCCTCCGTGACCAGGAGCATTAGGGAGAGAGCGGTTGAAGTCCAGGGCACTAGTGTATTCCTGTCGCTCCACCCCAGGACCCCATGCCCTCATGAGAGCTGTGGGTTCACACCAGCCCCACCACCCATTCCTAGTTAACTCTTCTGTCTTGATTTGTCTGCTCCAGATGATGTCTGACAAGAAAGTGGCTTCTGGTTATGTTGTATGAGGTACCCTGTGATAGCATCTGGTAGAGGCGGAGCTGAATAAATGAATAAATGGATGGATGGATGATGGCTCTCTCTACAATTGACAAATGACATATATATATATGTATATATATGTGTATATATGTGTGTGTGCGTGTGCATGTGCGTGTATGTGTGTGTGTATGTGTGTATGCGCGCGCCTGTGCGAAGGGCAATGGGTTTTATATACAACAAAGGCCCCCAGTTTTCCCAAGAGGTTCTTTCTGCAGGTAGCTTTCACTACTGAACATCTAACAAGCAGCCTCCGATGGGACGCTAGAAGTCACGGGCAGGTACACGTGGGCTGGCAATTTGAGTTCGTTTCCATTGGGGCTTAACCTCTGACACAGGTCCCATGACTTGTGTGGCCTGGACATTTGGAATGCAGAGCTGGGCTGTGCTAAAAATCAGATGAATGAGATATTTATCAGGAAGAGGGGTAGGGAGGAGGTGAGGCAGAGGACTGTTGACCAAGCTCTCTGCGGCATGCAGGAGGTTACAGCGGGCACAGATGAAGGACCTTAGAGTCCAAGACCCAGAATTTTGCTCTTGACCCAAACAGGGAGCCAGGCCAGGTTTCAGGCAGAGGGGTAGCACTGTGGTCCAGCTGTCAGTGCAGGGAGGTCAAATGGAAACGACTGAATTCTGCCTGCTGTAACACGTTCTGTGGCTATCCTCTCCTCTGTACTCCAAGTCTATGCTAAATAGCAGTATTTCAGAGCCCAGGATCTCTGCTGGGAGAAAGCTTGTTCCACATGCATAAAGCTCTGTGTTCCTTTTTTTTTTTTTTCCTTTTCCATCTGTCTTATCCCAGCACTCAAGAGGTAGAGGCTGGAGGATCAGAAGATCTAAATGGTCATCCTTGGCTACGTAGTGAGTTCAAGGCCAGCCTGGGCTACCTGAGACTTTGTCTCAAAAACCCGAAAACCACTGAAAGCATATAAGAGGACTATTAACTGCCTAATGTTAAGGACTACCTTCAGGTCCTACACCAGCCAAGCCCAGGCTCTGGTCTACTCTTCCCAGTCAAGGTATCCAAGTTCAGGCTGAGCAGCAGCAAGCTAAATCAGTCAGTTGTGCTCCCAGCCACGCTAAAGCCTGGGCCTACAGCAGCTCCGAGGGTTCCAGACCTCACCCTGATTTCCTTCTTCAGTCAAGCTTGCAGACGAAGATTTTGTAAAGGAAGCCGAGGTGTGCCTGAGAGGTCACAGCTTGCTGGGAAGCTGAGGAATACACCCTGACTGTCTGAGCCTGCAGGAGCCTGGAGGAGAGGTAAAACTGGACACGCAGAGTGTGAGGTGGGTGTTATGTTTCCAGCCCTGGAGGGAGCCTCAACCTCCTCACCTGGAAGGCAGCCATCCTAGCTCTGTCTGCAGCTAAGTTTTCTCTACTGAGGAGAACAGGTTATCAAGTCACTAGACCTGTGAAAAAACGCATCTCTGCTTGTTTGAGGCATAGCTCAGTAGGTTTTAGGACAAAAGAAAGCCTGGGTTTTGTCTTTAGCACCCCAAGCAAGTATTGTTTGTTTTTTCTTTCTTTTAATTTTTTATTTATTTTTAATTTTATGCATATTGGTGATTTGACTACATGTATCTTTGTCTGTGTGTGTATGGGGGGGGGGGGTGTCAGATCCCCTGGGACAGGTGTCACAGCCAGTTGTGAGCGGTTATGTGGGTGCCGGGAATTGATCCCATGTCCTCTAGAAGAGCAGCCAGTACTCTTCACCACTGAGCCATCTCTCCAGCCCTGTATTTGTTTTTTAAAGACAGGATTTCTCTGAGTAGCCTGTTGTCCTGGAACTCACTCTAGATCAGGCTGGCCTCAAACTCACAAAGCTCTGCCTGCCTCTGCCTCCCAAGTGCTGGGATTAAAGGTGTGAGCCACCATCACCCAGCTGCAAATATTTTTTTTTTTAAATTTTTTAAAAGACAGTTTCTCTACATAGCCCTGGTTGTCCTGGAACTCACTATGTAGGCCAGGTCAGTCTCAAACTCACAGTTTGAGATTAAATCCCAAGTGCCAGGATTAAAGGTCTGTGCCACCATGCCTGGCTTTAATTTACTTTTGCTTTGGGTACTGTGCTTTTGAATTCATGAAGCATCCTGACAGTATCTTCAGCACCGGGAGGAATTACAATCCTTTTGTGTTAAATAAGGAAATGGAGGTCCAGGGAGACACCCAAGGTGATACAGAGAGGAAGTGGCAGTACCAGGCTTCCCGGGCTCCTAAATTCATTAAGGGTTATCTTTGAAGTCTAGGGGTTTCTACTCACTGATCTATACTCAGATATTTGGGGAGTGGGAAACTCAGGCTGGAAGAAGCATCTTCAGTAAGGCCCAGAGGTTCTAACTAGGAGGATGGGGCCCTGGGTTCCTTCCTGACTTCTCTACATACTGAGTAGTTGGAGGATTTCGGCGGCTTTGTCTCTCTGTTCAGCTGATTCACCTTGAGGAATCTTCGCTGCTGTGTTTTCAGAGCCTAAGCAATGTACACAATAACACAAAGTAGGTGTTCAATAAATCCACAGTGAGTGGAGGCCCTGGAAGCCTTAGAGGTGTGTGTTCCCTGCTACTTCAACGCAGCAGTGGCCTCGGGGTCAAACCTGCAGATTTAGCCAGCCCCTGCTTCTACTCTGGGTCACCCCTGGGAAGGACAAGGACATTATGGAGGCCAACTTTGAACCTAACACTGGGTCAAACTCTGAAGTAAGTTAGCTCACCCTTGATATCGTCTTTGTTCTGATTGCCTGGTCCTGGCCAAAATCACCTCATTGTTCCCAGCCTCAGTTTTCCCGTATGTAAAATCTGCTCCTGCAACAGTAATGGGAAACGTCCCCTACTCTGTAAATAGCCACAGCGGGGCGAGAAGCCACGCCTCTGTCACAGCAGGAAGGGGCCGGGCCTTTCCCGGACTCTGGGGCTTCCCAGGCCTCGGGGAATTGAGTCTGGAGACTCTGTGGGAGCCGGTGCCTGGCGCTTCCAGTACGCAGGGGGTATCCAGTGACCCTGCGTGACCTTGGGCAAGGTCCTTTCTTCCCTCCCAACCCAGCCCCTCGCCTTTCAGAGGAGTGTTTGGTGCCCTGGGCTGTTCTGGCTGGCAGGGGCCGCCAGCATGCTCGCCCGCATCAGTTTCCCCTCCAGCCATCCAGCTCGAATCCTGAGAGCACTTCCGGGTCCGGAAGGGCAGTGTCGGCGGTGTGGGGGCGATCGGGGATCCCCGCGGGCTTACCTGGTGGCAGCAGCGACAGAGAGGACCACGACCGGAATCCTGGCAGCCCTGCTGCTCCCGCCTGGCGCTCTCCGCCCGTCCTCGCCCTGACCCAGCCGCCCCACACCGGCCTGGGCCGGTCCCGCCTGCGCAGCCCTAGGGCCCTGGTCTTCTCTTCCGGGCTGGGCCGGGCGCACCGCCACCTAAGCCACCAAAGCTATCGTATGGGTGCTGGCCTCGGGATGGGACCCGGAGATCTGCACCCCCCCACCCCACACACACGAAGTCAGGGGCACGGGAGGGCTCTGCAGAAAGTGCTCCCCAGGGGCTCGGCTGGCTGGAGGGGAGGACGAGCAGACACTTGAAGGGGAAGCTTATAAATTTTGCCGCCACACTTGGAAAGAGCCTGTCCCAGAAGCAGCCTCCCCCTCCTGTGCACACTGTGCGGTGAAGTTTGCAACATCCACGCCTTCTGATTCTTCTTTCACTTTCTCTAATGCTCGCCAGTCTACACTCGCGGCTCTTCCATCCCACAGGCCTCCGTTTGGGGGGGGTTCCGTTCCCGTGAGACTAGCCACCCACCCAGCTTTAGCCATTAAACAGATATTTGCTGAACACCTACTATGTGCCAGGTTCTGTTCCAAGGCTATGGATTAGCACACCAGGCCGATGGGCTCATATTTTAATTACTGTGGAAGTTGATTGTTTTCCTGTTTGCCAATTTACAATCTGGGTATCTCATACTAGAACTTAAAGGCTCCAGGAATGGGGATCTCCCATGCCTCCTCACTTGGGAGATGAGTCTTGTTGCCCTGGCAACCTGTGAATTTTCATCACACTTAGTCTACAGGCAAGGAAGTAGGCGGCCATCCTGATCAGGGCTGGAATATGAGTCACCGTGACCTCTAATGTCGTTGCTCTTTCTCCTGGAGAAGATAGGTTGGAGTTGTAAGTGGAAAAAGGACTCGAGCAGACAGGTCAGACGTGCAACATTCCAGCCGGGAGCAGGTGACTCAGGATCCTACAGGAATGCTATGGGGCCTCCATCACCTGATCTCCCTATCGGCCAATCAGGACCTAGAACAGCAAGGGGGTTATTGTAGGTCAAAAAGGACTGTTGTGGAGGGTTGAAGGATTCTAGCTGAGATTCTGGACATCACTAAGGCGGGGCAATAACCATACCAAAATGGCACGCCCCTCCCACCCCACCCCCCCAAATCCCACGGAATTTTAAAAGATCCTATTGTTGGCTATGAGGTATGTAGGACTGGAGTGGCCAGAGGTCACCGGTTAAGAAACGGTTCTGGGCTGAAGTAGCCTCAGCCTGAGCAACTACCTACCTCACCCTTTCACGTGTGAGACAGCTGCCGTTTCTATTTTAGTATAAGCTGATTTAGTAAGTTCTTGATATAAAAAAAATAAATAAATGTAACTCTGAAAGTTAAAAAGAAAGAGGATCATTCGCTAAAGGAGAAAAGAATAGCAATAGATAAAGGAAATCAATATGGAAAATGGTTTTAGAAAAGAAGTCACACTCAATACAAAGTGGTCCCTTAGGCGGGGTTCGGGGACAGTAAAGACATGGGAGAACGCTGAGCAGGGGAGCCTGTGCTTTGTAGTCCATAGCCACACATCAATATTGATTTTTTAAAATCTTGACCAATATATCAGTGTTAAGATTGGAAAGTAGGGCAAAGGGCACATGAATTTTTTGCTGAGGACTTTGCACTGTTTCTGAAAGTCTCCTGTTGGTCGCCCCAAAGCCCTTGTCAGACACGTTTGCTAAACAAGTGACAGATTGTCACCCTTAGTGTAGTTACTGGTTGCCTCTGAGCTAAGCCCTGCTTTGCCTTTGTTTAAAAAGATGATCAGGGCCCGATGCTGAAATGCTGACACCACAGCTTCTTGTTGCAGAGTGGTGCCAAGGCTGAGGCAGGGGGATCACAGGCCTGAGACCTTCCTGTCTTTACAGTGAGTCAAAGGTCATCCTAGCTTGGGGGGGGCGCTTCCTGCTGTGACAGGGGCGTGTCTTTTCACCCCCACCCCCACCCCCGTGGGTCTTTACAGAGTAGGGGACATTTCCCATCACTGCCTCTGGAGGAGCAGCTCAGTGGCAGAGTCCTGGTGGGCCAGGCTCCTCCATCCCTCGATATCCATAAAGAAGGAGCGTTCATCCCTGCCCGGCCTGCTTTTAGAGTCTGAGAGCAGCAAACGGCCTCTCCACAGAAAGAAGTGAGGATGATCTCCCAGAGCTACTTAAGACCTTTAAACACGTGTTCATGTATTAGTTAACAATGTGTTTTGTATCACCAGGATATGAGTCTCAGACATTAAAAGTATATCATAATACAGGACAGATGTCAAGGGTTCTCTTGTTGTAATTGGAGGTTGGCCCCAGGGTCTCGAATGAGTGTCGCACTATGTAAGTTTAGCCCTGTCCTTCTTTTTAGGTCAGAGGGGGACATCAGGTGTCCTGCTGTGTCACTCTCCACCATTTCCTTCGAGGTGGGGTCTCTCCGTGAACCTAGAGCCACCCTCCCATCTCCAAACGGACAACCAAAGGCTCAGACACATTCTGTAACTTCCTTCAGTGAGGGCCAGAGCCTGGCCCTGAGCCTGAGGCCTCTTGGCTGGACCTGTCCACTCACATCCCCCTGTAGCACGCCTGACTTCTCTGCCCACTCCAGGGCAGCAGTAACCTTACCTGCATTCTTGTCCCCAAGTTTTGAAGTTCCAGAAGATGGTTGGGACCAGGTCAGCTTCAAAGGGACAGAGTGTTAGAACATCTTTGCCCAGGGACCCCAAAGATGCTTTGTCTGGGACCCATCCTAAGCCAGGAATGACAGCAGGGGCTTGTAGGTCTAGGTCCCAAGCTAAGGCACAGGACAGTAGTCATTTGATCAGATGAGGACATTCTTTAAGCCTGGGGACTCCAGTGCTCTCACCTGTGGGATTCAGAGCAGGGAAACTAGAGGGGGATTAGTCTGCAGGCCCAGCCCGATTTTTATCATTCTTCCTTCTAAAACCTACTCATCTCTGAATCCCATGGTTCCTGTAGTTCATCTCATATTTTCTATGACATTTCTCCCAAGCCCGTCAGTTTTTAGGTTCGTTCTATTTACAAAGGAGGTACTGCATTGAGATAAAACTCTGGGCTAATTCCTAAGATCACTGGCATAGAATGACTGGGCAACCTTCAGCAGGTAAATTCACTTTTCTGATCTCAGTGTCTTCTTCTGCAAGAGCAGGAACACAGTGGTTCAGCGCCACAAGGTTGTTAAAAAGCCATAACTTGTCCGTTACGGAAACGCCTGTGTCTCTTACAAGTACTGGACAAACACACTCCCACCAAATGGTAGCAGAAAGGATTTCCTTGACCAACTGAAGACTTGGGGGTGGATTTTGTCTCCAGGAAGTTGAATGGGGCTGGCGGAGTAGGTGGGGAGACAACGTTCTTTTGCTGTCTGACTGGCAGTCATCCCAAACTTCACACACCCAAGGCCAATGGGGGGAGATGCTATCTGTTCACCCTCTGGGAAAGGGTATTCTTCAGAACCACACTGGCTGCCTGTAAGAACCTGAGTCCATGCACGCCCCCAACACTCTCGCTGCACCAAGAATTGTCTGACCTTATAAGAAAAATTAAGAAGATGCTGCCATTTTCAGGGCAGTATACTATACCCATGCTTTTGCTTGCTTGGGTGTTTATTTTGTGACACCAGGGATGAGTGAGCCTAGGGGTTCACACATTCCAGGCAAACACTTTACCACTGACCTCCACCCTCAGTCTGACACACAGTCAGACAGAAGAAGCCCTTGATGTGATCTCCTTGCAGGCATTCAGAGGCACAAGGCCCCTCCATCAGCTTGTGGCTCGAGCTGTGCCCTGAGCAGTTGGGGCATCCAGGGCGTTTTAGGACTAACTGAGTCAGACTTAACTCAGTCTGAGGAAAGGGAAGTGGAGAGCCAAAGACCTTGCTCAACAGCATGTGACCACTGATCGAGGCCAAGCACCCAGGACCGAGTGGCAGAGTCCTCTCATCTCTCCTGACAAAGATCCTGACACCATGAACTGTGCCCTCCTGTTATTCTCCTAGTACAGGAAATGGGGTGAATGGGAAAGGACGGTGCATGAGGCTGGGGAGTCCCTCCAGAGTTTTAAGTCTGATCACAGGGACTTTCCAAGCTCCCATGCTGGACCCCTTGCTCTCCCACCTCCTCCTTACCTGAGCCCTGATCCTGGAACCCACCAGAGCTCATTTTGAGGGCAGTTGCCCCCTTGCATGAAAAAGAAACCCAAATGGTCTTGAAGAGATGACCCAGGGACCTTTCTAGTGACTGTCACTTTGAGGCTGAGGTGGGGGTGGCATCACCGAGGACCGTTGCATTTACGAGATGTTTTATCTTTATGACAAAGGAGCAAATAGAACCATAGATGTGATAAGAAGCGAGGCGCCATCTGGAAAGCTTCCCTTCTGTCGTGTGTGTCTGGGAGTCTGGTGGCGAGCTGGGTCCACTGTGTGTGTGTGTGTGTGTGTGTGTGTGTGTGTGTGTGTATCCTTTCCCGCTTATAACCCTGAGATTCTCTGAGTCAAGCCCTCATGGTACACAACTGGTGATCTCAGCGTGGAGCCCGGGGACAATTCCTGGACCCACCCTCTCCACACCTCTCCATCTCTGTCTGCTGAACCTCAGATACCCCCCTCCCCACTTTACAATTCCAATTCTATGTGTACCCTACCCTGGCGTGGACCCTGTGGCAAACCAGAAGGAAACTTTTGGCATGGAAGGTTTGGGATGGGTGTAGCAAGCCACTCTGGAGAAAGCTTGACAGTGCTCCCATGGGCTCTGGCATCCTAGGAGTGAAAATGTACAATGGCTAGAGATGGACACAAACTTCCCAGCACACAAAAACATCAAAACCTCGATTTAAAAAATGAAGCCAGCTACATGGATTACAAAAGAGACCTGGTTCTATTTGCTTTGTAGTAAGGTCAATGTCCCAATATGTCCACAGAATGATATATACAAAACCCAGGAGCTCTGGAAGAGGGGTAGGGACCCCACCACCCTTGAGTCACAGTTACTCATTTAGGGGTTACGTCTCCTCCCTTTCCCCCTTTCCTTTCCTTCCTATGTTACACAAGGACAGACAGACGGGACCTCATTGTTCCAGCACGGGGTCCTTGATCCAACATGGCCAGTCTGGCTTTGACATGCAAGTCCAGTTCGAATGTGATTTTGAAAGGAGGCTCCTAGCCCCTTACCCGTGCAGACTGTGAGGTCTGGGGGAGGAGGGAACCTTGGCAGCGCTGGGCCTGTAGGGATCCGGAGTTCTCAGGCAATAGAAGTGATCTGGGTTTGCTTTTGCTTCCTGCAGAACAGAGTCCTGGGGCAAGGCCAGTTGCTACTCTGACTCTGGGGGTGACAGCAGAATAGGGTGGACATCAGGAGCGCCAGGGCAATGACAAAGGCCAGCACCCACCGGATGACGCCGGGGTAGATGAAAGGCAGGATAAGGACAATGAGAAGAGCCAACAAGAGCAAGTGTACAGCCAGGCGCCGGGCAGCTACGCGGTTGACACTCACTACGTCCTGTTCATCTTCTCCTGTCCAGTTGGCTGGCCGAGCTGCTGAAGCAGCAGAACCCACTAGCCTCTGGGGACAGAGGCGCACCTCTGGGCATGGCAGACGCCCCACCATCGCCTCCTGGTCTCGCAGACTGCAGATGAGGCCTCCCGGGACGGCAGTGACCTTTCGGCACAGTGGACAGGGGATGGACCAGGTGTCTTCCTGCACACATAGCAGAAGCTTCAGGCATACAGCACAGAAGGTATGCTGACAGCTAAGCAGCTTGGGGGACCGGGCACAGTTGTAAGGCTCTCGGCACACCAAGCATTCCAGGTCACCCTCCACAGAGATACTGAGACGCCCAGTGGGCCCCAAAGCAATGATGGTGCTTGTGGTGGTGGCACCCGCTGAGATAGGCTGTGGGGCCTCAGTGCAGGACATTCTGGGGACGGAGTTGGAGGGATGAGGCTGTTCCGAGCATGGGCATCCGCACGGGGTGTCCGCTGGAGGTGCCAGGACTTGCATGGGTTCCGGCCCTGTGGGGAGGCTTCCAGTCTCCTTTCTGCTCTCCGCGGGTACCTGCTGACAGCAGATGTCTGGCATCTTGCTCTCCTCGTTGCCCAGCTTGTTTCTCCGCTTACGTTGGCCCTTCAGTTATTATTATTTCTTTACTCGAAACCCAGGGTTAATCAGTAACTTGGAGACCTGGAGACTTTGAATTACCTGATAGAAGGGCCAAAGTGGGTGGAGTCTCATGAATCAGGACTTTCCGGTCGGGGCCATGCCTGGCGAGTGTCTACATGACAACCAACGGAAACTGTGATGACAGATGGCCCTACTAAGCTCTGGAGTGCACCAGTGACACCCCCACTCCCACTCTTGGCCAATCAAGGCCCCTGGTATGGGGAGATGAGTGGACTTCCCACAACCTTTTAAAAATTACATTTATTCTCTGTGTGTGTTCGTGTATATGTGTGATACATATATGCATGGTATATATGTAGAGGTCAAAGGACTTGGAAGAGTCAGTTCTCTCATTTTACTATGGGATCCTGAGGGTTAAACTTGGTCGTTAGAATTGCTGGCGTATTTGGTGAGACATTTCACCAGCCTTTAAAAATGCAAAATACAAGGCTTCGGGGCACAGAGAGGTAGATGTAGGAGGCCTGGATGGGGTCTAGATAGCTGTAAAATTCATCAACATCCCTGTGGTCCTGATGAGGGTGACTGTGTGTGGAGCATCCCTTTGAGAAAGGCCTCCAGAGATGCATTTCTGACCAGACCTTCTAGACTTCAGAATCAATGCAGAAGAGAGTGTTTGTGCCTTGAAAACATGAGGGTGGCATTAGGAAAAAGAGAGATACATTGGGCAAAGCATTCGGAACAGGAAAGTCTGAACAGAAAACCAAAACTACCAAAGTCCCCCATTGGTCCATTCAGTTTCTTGTCATCCTGACAGCTGGATTAGCAGCTTCTGGTTCCCAGGTATTTATCTCTCCCGTCAGGGCACCATGGGAACAGACACTTTAAGAATAGGCACCTGGCTCTAGGCACCGAGGCATGAGCATAAACTGCTTTATTTGGGTCTTTTCAGAGCAAACTCTCCGGCCTGGGTCCTCACCTGTGGTCTCCCAGCTCTATAATGAAGGTCTAGGCACAGGGGCAGGGTGTTGGCTTGTTGGCTGCCCGCCAAGGGGCCTACCACAGGGGCAGGATCTTGCCGTGTCCAAGGTCTGGTTCCTGTCTCCTGGAACTCAGCCATGTCAATTCATGCAGATTCTATTGGCCTCCAGGTGGCTGGCTTAAGCTGGTAGAACTCACATAGGATGGCAGATAGGACACAGCTTGGCAATCACGAAATCCTGTCCCCCTTACCATTCCTGGAATGTAAGAGCTGGGATGGATGTCCTTTCCCTCAAAACAAAAAACAAAAACAACAACAACAAAGGGCGCCACAGTGAATCCAGAGATTGCTTGTCAGCGGTTACTGGTGTCAAGTTTTTTGGATTAAGCCCTTATTTCCATCCCAGGGAGGTTGTGCCTGCCAAGGCTCAGCCCCTGTGTGTGGAGCCCCCAGCAGTCAGAGGCTGCCGGTTCTTGGTTTGTTCCCCACTCAGGGTCCTCTCACTCTGGATCCCAGCCCCAATTCCCATTCTTTCTGCCTTAGGCTGGGTCAGCAGGAATTTCTTTCTACCCAGGTTTCTACCAGGTTCACAGAAAGCCTCCTCGGCTCTAGTCCTGGGTGTCTGTGCCCAGTATGTTTTCAACTTTCTGACAGTGACCTGTCTTCACTTTGGGCGATTACTGCCGCCCCACAGTCCTTTTATATGGGTCTGTGGGAGACAAGGTGAGGAGTATGTTGAGGGGTGGAGGGGTAAGGGAATGGGGACAGGATTGGGGGGCACATCATGGGATTCAGGGTGGAGACTGACGGATGCTGTGAGATTTAAGTAGGACCAGTTAGCATATTCCATCTGGCTAGATGCAATGGTTGGTTCTGGCATGACATATGATCTAAGCAAAGCCAATGAGATTGGATTCTGGGACTCCTGTTGGAACTTGTGTGTGTGTTGGAGTGGAGTGGGGGTGGCTTTCTTTTGGGTTTCCAAGTGTAAGGATAAAAGCCTGTACTACGGGACAAGGCCACAGTGTACAAAGAACTTGCCCAGAAATAAGGTCAAGCTGTAGGACATTCTTTTAGAACCTGGATCCAGTCATGCCTGAAGCTAGAGGATTTATCTGTAGCTTTTTAAATTATATGAAACGTACTTTTCTTTTTCTTAGTACTGGGGCTCAAAACCAAGGCCTTGTGTGCCTGGACTGTCCCTAGCCCCCCAGTTCACAGTAAGTCAAGTCAAATTGGATTTCTGTTTCCTGCAATTGAGGAATATCTAGATAATACCCTAGTACCTGGGGAAAAGCACCTTGGCTCTCTGAGTGGGTAAGATCCATAAGCTAGCATGTACACAGGGTAACACAGTGTGTCACTCTGAGACACTGGCTTCTCCTGCCTTAGCCTTATGTCATATTTTTTTCTGTTCACTGGGTCTAGGGAGAGTTGAGGAGTGGGGAGGAGAAACTTGTTCAGCCACATTCATTTAATATATAATAAATATATAATAAAATTTTTAAAAAGTCAGAGGGACATCAGACCCACAGGAAGTCAGATCATCAGAGGGTCACTAAAGGAGGGGCTGGGGCTGTAGCTCAGTTGTTAGAGTGTTTGCCTAGCATGCAAGAAACCCTGGGTTTAATTCTGCAGCACAGCACAAACCAGGCATGCTGGGTGCATGGTGACACGCACCTGTAATCCCAGCACTTGAGACCGGAGAGTCGGGAGTTCAAGGTCATTCTTGACTACACAGTGAGTTCATGGCCAGATGGGATACATAAGACCCTGTCTCGGAATAGGAAGGGAACCAGAGAGAAAGCTAGTGGGTCAAAGGATTTGCCATGTAATCTCAATGACTCAAGTCCGATCCTCAGAACCTGTGTAAAATGCTGATTCATCCACGTGCGTTTGTCTGTAATCTCTGCACCCTGTCTCCAGATGGAGTGACAGGAGAACCATCCACAACCCCGAGGGCCAGCTAGACTTCAGTTCAAAGTTTCAGCAGTAGCCTCAGCAAGGTGGAAGGAAAGAACCAACTCCCAAAAGTTGTCCTTAGACCTTCAGGTGAGCACACAAGATGGGAGGGGTGGGGGCGTGAAGAAAGAGACAGTGGGGGGATGGAAATGTGATGGAGGGAAGATACTTGGGGTTCTTGTCTGAAGAACAATCCTTTGATGTCATCAGAACTGTTGATGGACTGAGAATGTGGGTTAGAGGCAGAGCCCTCCCCCCAGTGTTGGATCTCTCAACGCAGAGATAAAGTCAATTGGTTGTAGTAACCAAAGAATTACAGAAAGATACAGTCGAGAATATGAGCTGGAGTGGTGGCTCATGCCTGCAATCTCAGCGCTCCAAATAGTGAGGCAGAAGGATTAAAGGTATTAACATAAAGGTCTTAACATATGAAGGGTAGCCTGGGTTAGATATTGAGTTCCAGGCCAGTGTGGGCTATAGAATGAGACCCTGTGTCCAATAAATAAATAGATAAATAATAAAAAATAAAATCTGACTATTCCTATTACTACTGCTTATGAGACATGACCTCTATTGAGACAGAGAGAGAGAGAGAGAGAGAGAGAGAGAGAGAGAGAGAGAGAGAGA